ACCTCGAAGGTCTCGGCGATGGCGCTGCCACGGATCCAGTTCCTGTGGCGGATAAGACCTTGCTCTGGGATCCTATAACACCTGCAGAGGTAAACAGGATTTCCGTAAGGACTGGCACTGCGCCCGGATGGACCAGATTACGCCGAGGATGTGGAACGCTGTTCCTGCGATTCTTCGTGCGCTTCTGTTCAATCTGCTGCTCCTGGCAGAAACGATCCCCTCGTCAATCGCCACAACCAGAACGGTATTCCTTGAGAAGGGGGGTATGTCCGATCGGCCAGGTCCGACGGAGTACCGTCCTCTCAGCATAAGATCCGTTATAACAAGACACTTCCACAAGATATTGGCAAAGAGATTGGCAGCCCTCGACATCTTCGACAAGCGCCAAAGGGGGTTCCGGCCGGTGGACGGGGTATGTGAGAACGTCACAGTCCTTTCATCCGTGCTTTGGGACGCCCGGAGGCGTTGTCGTTCTCTGCATGTGGCGTGCGTTGATCTGTCGAAAGCTTTCGATACGGTTGCGCACGCTGCTATTCATACGACTCTCGATGAGCTGGGGCTCCCTCGGGAGTTTAGAGAGTACGTAAGGGCTGTCTATTCGAATGCGCTGACCGAGTTGCAGGGGGTCAGCGCTGAGGAAGTGTCGGCCATCATGATTGGCCGTGGCGTGAGACAGGGTGATCCGTTGTCGCCCCTGCTGTTCAATCTGGTCGTAGATAGAGCACTAGGAATTCTCTCGGAGGACGTTGGCTATCGGTTGGGTGGCCGGCTTATCAATGCGCTGGGCTACGCAGACGACATTGTGCTCCTGGTCTCTACCAGAGATGGTCTGCAGGAGAACTTGACACGGCTTCATGACGCCTTTATGCGAAATGGGCTCGAGATCAACGCGAGAAAGACCGGAGTGCTGTCCATGGTGGCGTCCGGCAGAGACAAGAAGGTGAAGGTGGACACCACACCTTATTTCACCGTGGGGGGGAGCGATGATACCGCAAAGATCCCTGGTCGATGTCTGGACGTATCTGGGCTGCGAATACACAGGTGCTAGGGAACTCGCAAGCGATCCACCCTTAGCTCAGGCCATCGAGCAACTCACGAGGGCACCTCTTAAGCCGCAACAGCGGCTGAGGTTGTTGCGTGACTGTCTCCTTCCACGGTATTATCACCGATGGACAGTGGGTACGGTCTCGGCCAAAACCCTCAAGGGTAAGAATATCATCGTACGCACCGCGGTGCGACGATGGCTGCGTTTTCCCCATGATGTTCCTGCTGGATACCTGCATGCGCCGATACAGAGTGGCGGGCTTGGAATGCCTCTATTGAGAACTTTGATCCCAATTCTGAAACATAACCGACTGCAGCGGTTGTGTCGGAGTACTCTACCCGCAGCATGCGCGGCTGCCGAAACCACGTATGTGGCTAGGCAGCTTGTCTGGTGTGAAAACCAGATGCGAGTGCGGGGTCACAGAGTGACTACGACCGCTGAGCTCAGACAGCAGTGTGCGGCCTGGTTGCGCGAGTCGTGCGATGGGAGTGGACTCAGAGAGGTTGCGGCCTCCAACCTGAGCTCCTACTGGGTATCGGCTGGCGCCGATGCCATCCCAGGTGCCGACTACGTGCACTATCACCACATACGAGCTAACTGCATACCGTCTAGAGCGAGATGCTTCCGAGGTCGTGATGGGCGCGATAATCGCTGTCGTGCCGGTTGTCCCGAAACCGAGACGCCGGCTCACTGCGTGCAACGCTGCTTCAGAACGCACGGAGGGAAAATCCTGCGGCATGACGACCTATGCCGTCAAGTTGGTGGCTATTTACAGCAGAAGGGATGGCGCGTCGATGCGGAACAAGCGTATTCGACGTCTGCCGGCCGGAGGCGGCCCGACCTGACCATCGCTAAGGGTGGTGAGGCAGTGGTCGTAGACGCGCAGGTAGTGTCTAGCAAAACCGCGTTGGAGATGTCCCACGAGCGTAAGGTGGAAAAGTACCGGTCATGTAATGATCTGGCAGCCGCTGTGGCGGAGCGCACAGGAGTACCACGAAATAATGTTCGTTTTACCGCCATTACTATTTCGTGGCAAGGTGTCTGGAGCTCGCGAAGCGAGTCTGAGTTGCGGGGGCTGGGTTTAACGTCCGCCCAGCTCCGAACGTTGACGACTCGGGTCTTGTGGGGCTCATGGCTGGAAACGTTTTAACGCAATGACATCGCGTTATAACGAGAGAAGACGGAACGTGGCCTCATCTAGTGGTGCATGATGGATGGCGCGTAGAGTTGGGGGCCTCCGCATCATTCGCGCGAGTTTGAATGATTGCGTGAATGGTCGAGGTGAAATACGAGCTGCCTTTAGCTAGCTCCGACCTTCACGATCCAGGGTGTTGACTGCGAACACCAACAGTAAACAGCTCTGCAATATCGCTGTCGGTGGCGACTTGGCGACTGTGATTTTGTAGCAGTCGTCGCGCACCGTAGGCGAAACAGCCAAATGCCTCGTCATCTAATTAGTGACGCGCCATCGCCACCCTCCCCTGACCCCTTTCCAGGCCCTTCTCGTCGGCCGCCCGCTGGGCCACGACGCCGCCCAACACCCGCTGCCCCTGTCCCTGCTCCCCGCAAGCCCCGCAATTCCCATGCCCACACTGTGATCGTGCGTTCACCACGAAGACCGGACTCGGCCTCCATCGCCGACGTGCACACGAGGCCATCGTCAACGAGGAGGTTAACGTCGAGAGGGTTAACCGCCAATGGAGCGACGAAGAGAAGCGCATGATGGCGAGGGAGAAGGCGCTTGCCGCGAATCGAGGCGTTAGGTTTATGAATCAACATCTGTTAACCGTCGTCCCGAATCGCACCCTTGATGCCATCAAGGGGATGCGTAAGAACGGCGGTTACCAGCGCCTCGTCGCGACGGCACTGGAGGATCTGGCAGCCGCATCATCAAGCGAGAGCTCGTTTCTCTCGGCCGGTGGCTCCAGTCCTCCCGTCTCCCCTCGACCCATCGCCATCTCTCCCCACGGGTCGCCTGGCTCGCCTCCGCTTTCTCCATCTTCTCCCGGCTGGGGTGATGCGTACGGCAGTTTTGCCGGTGCTATACGCGCGCTCATCCCGGTTGTGGAGGCCATCCAGGGATGGAAGTCCCATATCCTGATCCAGATCGGATCAGGAATTCTGGATGGCCAGCGGAGGACCTGGGCCCGTGGGTATTGAGTGTGTTCCCTCCGACGCTTCCTCGTGTGCGACCGCCCGTACGAAACCGTGTCGTCAATCCGGATAGAAAAGCGCGCCGCCGAGCGGAGTATGCGCGCGTCCAGCGCCTCTTCCGTTCGAGCATGTCGCGCGCGGCCAAGGAGATTCTGAATGGTGCCACTGAGGCGGACGTGGTTCCCGGTGTGCGGCAGATGGCCGCGCACTGGGGCCCGTTCGTAGCGCAGGAGTCCGCTCCTGTCGCACCGGCTCCGCGTCTTCCACCGAAAGTGGAGCTTAGTGGCACCTGGTCTCCAATCTCCTGTGAGGAGGCGGCAGCCATTAACCTGCCCCTCAACTCGGCCCCCGGATTAGACGGCATCGGCGTACGGATATGGAGAGCGGTACCAGCTTCCATCAAAGCTCTCCTCTTCAACATCGTGCTGCAATACGGAGGTTTCCCAGCATCGATGCTGGTGAGTCGGACGGTTTTCATCCCGAAGAGGGGAGAGTGCTCCCTGCCGGGGGATTTCCGTTCGATCTCCATCACCTTCGTGGTCGTGAGGCACTTACATAAGATCTTTGCCCAAAGGCTTCGCGAGTCCAAGCTAGTCGATCTAAGGCAGCGGTGCTTTGATGACGGGTGCGGCGACAATGTAGCCGTCCTGGCGTCTTTCTTAATGGACGCCAGGTCCCGTCGTCGCGAGATGCACGTTGCCTCGCTGGACTTCGCGAAGACCTTCGACAGCGTCAGCCATGGTGCTATCACCAACGCCTTGGTTGGCCTGGGCGTGCCTCACGGCCTAATAGACTATATCGCGCATAGTTATGCGCGCAGCGGCACGATATTTGAAGTGCGCGGTGACAGGTCAGAGCTCTCTGGTATTGGCAGAAGCGTCAGGCAGGGGGATCCTTTATCACCAGTGCTGTTTTGCCTGGTGGTAGATGTGATCATGAGATCCATACCTGCCGACGTCGGTTACCAAATGGGAGAACATCGCATAAACAGCCTAGCCTATGCTGACGATGTTCTCTTCTTTGCTGCCACCAAGTGGGGTCTCCAGACACATCATCAGGGTGGTGGAGGACACAGCGAGGGAGACGGGGCTTCTTTTTCAAGCCAAGAAGTGCTCTGTTCTTTCTCTCGTTCCTTCTGGCCGGGAAAAGAAAATTTTTCTTCCTCCTCCGTGAGGGAAGTTGGCGTGGGAATCTCTTTGTCCTCCCAGAATTTCTGGAGGAGAGAGTCCACATCCAGCGCGGATACGCAATTCAAAACAGTTACTTCTTGTGAAGTAGTTTCTTTACTTCCGGTCGGTCCAGAGATTATCCAACCGAACGAGGTCGATTGGGCAGTGGGCGCTCCATAGGGGCCCTGTCTCAGGTCGCGCAATAAGAGCGAACCGTACACGTCCGCGCCGATCAGCATGTGAATCTGATGTCGACTAGATGGATCCGGATATGCTAGTGAAAGGCCCTGTAAATGAGGCCATGATTCTATAGGCCAAATTCGCGACGTGGCGTACGAAGTTATTCGCGGGAATACATACGCAGTGACCGAAAAAACAGGATTCAATTTTTCGCACGGCGTCAAATTTAGCGAAACTCTCGATCGCGCAGAACCGGCATATTTCTCCCCGAAACCTTTTATTTGAAGATCGGTCCTCTGTCGTTTAGTGCGAAGCGTTTCACTCAATGCTTCGGAAATAAAGCTAAAATTAGACCCTTGATCTAATAAAGCGCGGACCTTAAAACATCTTCCTTCAGAAGTGTGTATGTCAACCCACGCGGTCGCGAGAAGAACGGTGGGCATCGTGGTATTCTAAGGTTTGAGAGTTTGCACGCTGGCGACGGCGGCGTCGCCGACTACGACAGTCTTACTCGTGGTAGTAGACGCATTAACGCTCGAATTCGATAAACGGGAATTTTCCGCTGTGTCCTTACTTTGATCACTCTCATTGTGTAACAATGTGTTATGAGAGCGTTGACAATGAGCGCATCGAATTTTGCTCGAGCATTTCGGCGTGAAATGTCCCGCTCGCAAACAATTGAAGCAGACCCGATTCTGTCGCGCGATGGCATGCCGCTATGTCGCGTTTTTCCGACGAAATTCCTCGCACTTCATTACCGAATGACTGCCGGAACAGCAAATGCACTTAATCGCGGAAAGATTATGAACGGAGGACTGCGTTTTGTCACTCTTAGAATTGACGATTACTTTAGGATTGTCGGAGAAGTCCGACAGACCTCGTATTCGAAGCGTGAGGAATTCATGAATATCCTTGTACGAAGGAAGCTCGCGACTTGACGAAATTTTTAAATTCCATTCGCTCCTTGTTTTCGAACTAAATTTTTGAGAGATGACGTAGACGAGAATGTCATCCCACTCGCGTACCGGCCGCTTTAGATTAGTGAGAGCCGCTAGAGATGCGGACACGGTATCTCTCAACTTTCGCATTTCCGCGACGTTTTCCGCCTTCATTGTCGGTAGGCACATGAAGGCGTGAATGTGAGTATAGATCAACGTAAGTTGATCATCATACTCGTCAATCAACAACTGCCAGACGGACTCATAATTAGCGTCGGAAATCTTTAAATTACTAATAATCGAGGCAGCGTCACTGATGACGCTCGTTTTGAGGTAATGAAATTTCTGCGTGTTCGAGAGAGAATCATTACTCGCGACAAGAGACTCGAAAGTATTTTTAAAACTCTCCCATTCGGAGAACTTGCCCGAAAACTTCGGAAGTGAGATCCGTGGCAACTGAAAATTGTGATTATGAATGCCCTCGCGAATTGAAGAATCAGTACTGTGTTCTAACAACGGAGATTGATTAATTGAGAATCTTAATCGTATTTTCGTATTTCGAGACTTATCGTATCGCAAAGGAGGTCGGCCGTGTCGTGGTAGATCTCCTCGGCGCTCAGGAAGTTTCCATTCAGGAAATACGAGACAGTCTTCTGCTCCTCCGAAGTTGTGGCTTGCAGCAGCTTGACGTGTAGCCCTCGACAGGAAGTCCAAAGCGTTTCCAGCGTTGCAAGACGCCTCTGCGTCTTTGCTAATGTAACATTAGCTTTCGCTAATTTCTTGAAGTTAACGAGAACTCGCTTTATCGAGTCGATTGTTTCAACTTGCGAGATGAGCAAATTTCTTAATTCTGCCATTATTTCTTCGTTAATGAGCTATTAATAGTGACTTGATCGAAGGTACCGGGCTCGTGAGCACGGTGCCGACGGCAACGAATGCGCGACGACTTTTGGTCGAATCGCGACACTGTTATGTCGCTTAAGAATACACGGGATATGCCGGGGAGCGTTACCGCTGCGCCGACGGCAACCTTTCCGCGGATGTTTTCTTATCGACAAGCGGATTTCTCCGGTGCCTGAAGAATTAACGCCGTGACGTTCAATTGCCACGCCGACGGCGTCGAACTCGCGACGATTCCCTTTTAATCGTCGCGTCCAGTCTCGATTAGCACAGTGTATGATGTTCCGGGCGTGTTATCGACGCCGACGGCAACACCTTCGCGGAATACTTCACTTCGTTCCGCGAAACACGATGTAATTTTGACTTTGAGTTCACGAATTGTTTCCACCACCAGACCCCCGCGTTTGAACCTTGTAAATGAACTCGCGAATAAGGCGCGAAGCTCAACATTTAGATTCCCGCGGGAATGTTCGTTAAAGTTAACTCCACGACGGGAAAATAACTCCACTTGTCGCTCAAGCAGAGTGAGTGAGCCCAGAGAGAAAACCCGTTGGATAGTGAACGCGACACTGTCTTTGTTCTTCTTCTGCACTCATTCGATTGTAAAACGAGAAGTCACAGTCCGACGTCTCACTGACAATGTTCACCCGTTCCGTCTCACAACGCGAATCTCGCGTAGTTTGATTATCCGTATGATCGGGTCAACGAAAAATCCGGCTCAAAGGACCAATGTTTTTCCTTTTATTTAATTTTAATAACAGTAATTTTATTGTATCATATCAGATTTGTACACTGTATCTGGTTCCGACGCTTCGGATTCTTTTGATAGACTATTGAATACGTGATTGAGGTTCGATTGTCGTTCTTCAAGAACAAAGAAAGACAGGATATCGCGGATCCGTTACAAGCATACCGCTTTATCGTTGGGTGCTCTCGACTGTGTCTTTGGGCTAACTGAACTCCCTTTTTAACCTCGGGGAAGACAACCGATTCGGAATCACGAGCTTTGCATGAACTCGGCGCGTGACACGCGCGCGGCTAATCGTGATTCGCTGGCCGGTTGACCTGTCGATGTCCGCTCGAGGTGCCAAACAAAGTCGATTGTTGGTCGAGCCTTGAGTCCCTGGCTTCGACTCGGAACCAGAACAATATATATATATATATTTTTTTTTTCTCGACAGCTTTGTTCCAAGTTTTAAACAGTGATAAATATTATTATTTTGAATGTGATAATTATTAATCAGAGAAATTCTAATAAAATTCTTTTCATACCATATTCTCTTACAATTACCATAACTTTTAGGGTAAATTCTAAGAGAAAATTCTCTCAGTGTTTTGATTAATTATTAAAAATTACTTGTAAAAACGCGCGGCGCGCACAGCACACGTTGCTCGATGCGGACGGCAATAGTTTACACGGCAAAGACACGACAATCATAATCACAATCTAAGAGAATTTTTTCTTAGAATTTACCTAGAAAATTATGGTAATCGTAGGACATTATGATGTGTGTATAAGATTTAACGTTGTAGGATGCCGGGTTAACGTGATCAAATGATTGTACGCGTTTTGAAACGGTTTAAATTAGTTTATTCATTTTCTACAAGTTCGTCGCGTACCGAGACTTATGTTTCTCGGCGCTCGCTCTCTCGAGGACTGACTCGAGGGCTGCGCGAATTTCGGAGCTCGCGTAGGGCGGCAGCCGATCGGGGTCCTCGATTGGACCATCAGAAAATCAGGCGATGTACACACGCCAATTAGCGGCGAGTGTACACGTTGGTTTCACGTGTTTCCTTGGCGTAAACACTAAGGAATTTAACAAAAAAACATTCTAGAAAATTCGATCGTCCTCGAGGATTCGATCCGAAGAACGAATCTTCAACATACCGCCCGCCTCGTATGCGAACGAATGCGAAATAAACATAAACGAAGCGGGAGCGAATCGTCGAGGAAGATGATTACAAAAAACATACAGGTGAAGACGACTCGCACTGAGAAAGTCGTTTCGAAGATTACATAACTCTTACAAGTTAGCGGCTTCATCCGTTGCGGACGCGTTAGAGTTATCACGTATTGGCAGTCGGCATAATTGCGCAATAGGTCGTTGCCATTTGCTCGGAGGGAACACGGGACTTTTAACTAATACTAATTCGCTTATTGCGAAGTTAGGAGACTGCTTGCACCACCTGTTTCGCTGTTGAAGCGAATGTAAATAATCCTGTGACCAGGCACGCCACACGGTTTCCTGCATGGCACGGATTAGTTGCCATCGCGAGAGCCTACGCGGGTCGATCGCGAGTACCGATTCCTCCGGAATGGCTACGAGGGGCCGTCCAATCAGAAAGTGACCCGGGGTGAGCGCCGACAAGTCACCCGGGTCGTCCCTAAGCGGAGCGATTGGTCGCGAGTTAAGGCACGCTTCTATTTTACATAGAAGCGTCGCGAGTTCAGCCCTCGAAAGTGTGTGGGAACCAAAAGCGCGCCTCAGATGCGTTTTAAGGCTCTTGACTCCGGCCTTCCAAAGGCCGCCGAAATGTGGAGCGGCGGAGGGAACACTTGGGCTCCCGCAAAAGCGGCGCCTTCCCACGATACAAAGAGGAGCTCATATGCCCACCCCGCCCCTGGTGCAACATTGCAGCCGAGACAAGAGGCATGGCCACCTCGCCAGTAGATAGGGACAGTGGGAATCTCGTTAATCCATTTATGCGCGTCACTAATTAGATGACGAGGCATTTGGCTAAACCTGCGCCCGCGTAGCGGGCGAACTTCCCGGAGTAGGTCTCCAGTAACCGTGTTCTAATTCTAAAATTCTAACTCTAAGTATAATATTCGAACTCTAAATTCTAAGTCTAAATCTAAATTCTAATTCTAAGTTTTAGTCTCGAATTTTGTACTACTATACGAATAAATCAGTGTATTCATGTGTGAAAACTAGTGTCCAGTATTCTTCAAAACTTCCACTCCCGTGATAAAATACGATAGCGTTTAAATTTGTCATACGGCGTTTGAATTCAGAATAATTCAAACTGTGTTTGGAGCGGACCACCGCTCATCACAGTCAGAATTAACATTCTCAGCATTTGCCAAAATAAGGAATTGATAGTGAGGTCCGCCGCATATCAACCCTCCTTATTTGAGTAATCATTCAGAGGATGCATCAAATTCAATATGCCTAAGACGCGACGCGCAGGAAGGAAGAATCAATTACGAAAACTAAACCGACTTTATCGCGAATCAGCGACCGAGGAATATTCTCAATTCCTCGGAGTGGAATATCAGGCCGATCCTGAATACGAGAACATTTTCAACATTAAAAATAATAACAACGACGAACTCCTACAGTGGAAGTGCATACCAATAACGTTCCAACCACGACGCCTGCCGCCGCCAAACATCCCAGTGAACGACCCTCGCCGCACGCACTACCTCCAAGTACGAGCCGACACGATCAAGAAAGTGCTACTAAAGGTAAGTGAAATTCACGTTAACCTAAAGAATCGCGCGTGTTAGCAAATTCAGAGACGCTTCTACCACGTGGAAGAGAACATTCTAGAAAAATCTCCGACGCATTTTTCCTCTTTTCCATCGTCACTGCGGAAGCTATAAAAAAAAGGTCGGGCTATAAAACTAGGGTCGACCACCACATGCGGTGCCACCCTCGGAATTCTAACACGGAAAAACGCAAATAGTTCAATCTCTTAAAAATCTTGTGTCTCAAGAAATAACTTCGTAAATCCGTACAACAAAGTAGTCATTTAAACAATAATCAATTGAGAACACTTTCGATTTACCAACATTACCGACGATATACCGACATACGTTCTTTACCGACGTTATCGACAATATACCGACATACGTTCTTTTACCGACATTACCGACTATATACCAACATACGTTCTTATACCGACATTACCAACCATATATCGACGAACGTTCTTTTACCAACGGGTTATCGACACCTTACTGGCGCCTTACCAGTGTTTTACTGAACAATTACCGACGGTTTTGCCGACGACTACTAACTTCTCGATAACTGCCGGGTTCACCGAAGATCTACGAGCGAATGACGCATTATCAATTCGATTACGCAACAAACACAAATGTGCCCACTCACCCTTAGAGGTATAACTCCTCCTCCAGAAGTTAATCTCTTTGTACCGTTTGAACCCTTATTCTATTGCCAAGTTGGTGTCGGGTACATCCATTTTGAGACTAAGGCAGCTCTCTGCATTTCATGCTACTCCACCTTACCTAGAGTCTCGAAATTACTTTGGACAAGGATTCGGAAGCATACTCTAATCATAGGCGGAACACCTATCGGAATAAATTGCGGAGTCTGCAACTTCCGACTTACCCTCACGCGAATCGGTGATTTGTGCGAGCTTTGTCAGTTTACGTACGAAGATTACTTACGCAACCCCAACGACGTTTCGCATAGAGCAATCGACGAAGCTATCTTTATTACAGTAGAGTCACAGGTAGGTCCCACGCAATAATCCGATCACCTCAGTTCCAGCGCGAATAACCTCAGATCGCGGGTATCCCCGGGGAGAATCGCATAGATTCGCGTACCCGTAATAGCGATCGTGTCTCGTGGAAAAAGCCGAGCTCTGCATTCAAATTTTCGCAGCCGCGACCCCACGAGACGTAACAGTAGCGAAATGTCGTTGGTCAATTTGTCAAAAGCCGTTTTTAATTCCCGGTCCGCCCCGTGAAAGTTCGTGCTGTTGTCGCTGTAGAGTTTTTGTGGCAATCCTCGTCGACTAACGAATCTTCGAAAGGCCGCTTGAAATCCCGCAGAGGAATAATCCTCAACGAGCTCTATGTGGATAGCCTTCGTCACAAGACAGATTATCAAGACGATGTAACTTTTACGTGTGTTTTGTCCTCTACCGACTAATGAAGTAACAAGGAACGGCCCGGCGTAATCTACTTTTGTATGCGTGAACGGAGATGATGGATTTACGCGAGGGGAGGGAAGGTCTTCTAGAAGTTGATTTGATAGTTTGTTCGCGTAACGAGCACACACGACACATTGTCTAATGCAATGTTTTACGGCATTACGACAACTTAATATCCAATATTTTTGGCAGAGTGTTCTAAGCACAAGTTGAGTTCCTCCATAAAGTGAGCTTCGGTGCGTTTGATCAATTAATAACTCGGCTACTCGACCCCGAGGAATTAAGATAGGGTGTTGTTCCTCGAAGGATAGTGCGGAATTCCGTAACCGCCCGCCGAAACGTAGTAAGGAATCTTTTCTTATGAAAGGATTAAGAGGCTTCTGTGGGCTCTTTCGCGGAAGGTTTTCTTCTCTCTTTAATGCTTTGAGTTCGGAGTCGAACGACTTCCTCTGCGTATATGAGACCCAAAACATTTCCGCGCGTTTAAGTTCGTCCGCGTTAAGAGACAACGCAACATTAGCTTCAAAATTCCTTTGTTTAGCGGAGCGGGATATAAATCTGTAAGCGTAGGCTGTCACTCGAATGAGCTTAGTCCAGGAGGAGTATCTATAAGGGAGATCCCATTCCGGTGTACCTTCCACGTGAAGGACAGTGGACTTTCGACTTTCCGAGTGTATTTGCTTAGTTAACTCCGTGGAGATCGGAGAAGCAATGTTATGTGGCGGCCACGCTGTTGAAGGCCATTGAAGCCAAGGCGGGCCCGCCCACCATAACGGATGTGAGACTAACTTGGATGCGTACAACCCTCTGGATGCACAGTCGGCCGGATTGTTTTTGGACGGTACGTGATTCCATTTGGCCGAGGGTAGATTACACTGCACCTCGGATACTCTGTTTGCTACGTACGTAGTCCATTTCGATGGATGTTGGCGTAACCATGCCAACGCGATCGTGGAGTCCGTCCAACAATGGATCGGACAATGAATAATATTTAATGACTTAATTACCCACTTAACGAGTCGACTCAATAAAACAACGGCGTTGAGCTCGAGCCGCGGAATGCTAACAGTCTTGACGGGAGCCACCTTCGACTTCGCAACGATCAAGCTAACACGGTATTCCGAAAGAGAATGGAAAACGCGCAAGTATACGACCGCAGCGTACGCGCGATTTGAAGCGTCGGCGAATCCATGTATTTCTAACGCGAGATTATCAGGGCTCTGACCCGTCCACCGAGGAATTCTAACGGATTCTAATTGCGGGAACTCGGAAGCGAAAGCATTCCACCGTTGACTCAATTCGTTCGGAAGCGGAGCATCCCAGTCGCAATGTAAAAGCCATAGCTCTTGCAGAATGATTTTTGCGTTTATTACAACCGGCGCAGCCCATCCGAGGGGGTCATACAAGCTCGCGATGCACGACAGGATTGAACGCTTAGTTAACGCTGTAGGAAAATTAAATTTCACAGTAAGGCGGAAGGAGTCTTCCGTAGGGAGCCATGATAATCCGAGTATTTTCAACGTTTCGTCCTTTAGGATAAGGTGATCGGTAACGTCCGATTGATCGCTGGATAAATCATCAAGAAGCTCGCTACAGTTTGAAGCCCATTTACGAAGTGAAAAACCTCCGCGCCTCATTAGTTCAGCGAGCTGAGTTCGCGTATTTATTAACGAATCGATATCGTTTGCTCCGAACAATGCGTCGTCCACGTAAATGGAATCATTGACGATCGGTACCGCGGCAGGAAACTTTGCACCTTCATCAAGCGCGAGCTGTCGAAGCACGCGCATCGAAAGATAAGGTGCCGATGCTAAACCATACGTCACTGTAAGAAGGCGAAAATGAGTAAGCGGAGCGTCATCCGTCGGACGCCACAGGATTCTTTGGTAATCGACGTCCCGCGGATGTACGCGTATTTGTCGAAACATCTTGGCGATGTCTGCCGTATAAACCAAGCGCCATGCACGCCAACGCAATAAGACGGCAGGGAGATCCTGCTGCAACTTTGGCCCGATGAGCAAATGGTCGTTAAGTGACGTGCCATTCCGGGTTTTACACGACGCGTTAAATACGACTCGAAGCTTGGTGGTGCAACTATCCTCTCTTATTACTGGATGATGGGGAATATAAATCGGTATATTCTCAGTGGGTTCGGACTCGCCAACGCGAGTCATATGTCCAAGGGCCTCGTATTCTGTAAGAAAGTCTCTGTATAGCGAACAGAGATCGGATTTTGAATTCAATTTATTTTCCAGACGACCGTACAATGTACGCGCTATGGAGAGAGATTCCCCGATATCGATCGGCAAAGCATTTTTGAAATGTAATCTCACGACATAACGACCGTCAGGATCACGACTGTGCGTTTGAGCGAAATAAGATTCGCATTTTTCTTCCTCCTCCGTGAGGGAAGTTGGCGTGGGAATCTCTTTGTCCTCCCAGAATTTCTGGAGGAGAGAGTCCACATCCAGCGCGGATACGCAATTCAAAACAGTTACTTCTTGTGAAGTAGTTTCTTTACTTCCGGTCGGTCCAGAGATTATCCAACCGAACGAGGTCGATTGGGCAGTGGGCGCTCCATAGGGGCCCTGTCTCAGGTCGCGCAATAAGAGCGAACCGTACACGTCCGCGCCGATCAGCATGTGAATCTGATGTCGACTAGATGGATCCGGATATGCTAGTGAAAGGCCCTGTAAATGAGGCCATGATTCTATAGGCCGAATTCGCGACGTGGCGTACGAAGTTATTCGCGGGAATACATACGCAGTGACCGGAAAAACAGGATTCAATTTTTCGCACGGCGTCAAATTTAGCGAAACTCTCGATCGCGCAGAACCGGCATATTTCTCCCCGAAACCTTTTATTTGAAGATCGGTCCTCTGTCGTTTAGTGCGAAGCGTTTGACTCAATGCTTCGGAAATAAAGCTAAAATTAGACCCTTGATCTAATAAAGCGCGGACCTTAAAACATCTTCCTTCAGAAGTGTGTATGTCAACCCACGCGGTCGCGAGAAGAACGGTGGGCATCGTGGTATTCTAAGGTTTGAGAGTTTGCACGCTGGCGACGGCGGCGTCGCCGACTACGACAGTCTTACTCGTGGTAGTAGACGCATTAACGCTCGAATTCGATAAACGGGAATTTTCCGCTGTGTCCTTACTTTGATCACTCTCATTGTGTAACAATGTGTTATGAGAGCGTTGACAATGAGCGCATCGAATTTTGCTCGAGCATTTCGGCGTGAAATGTCCCGCTCGCAAACAATTGAAGCAGACCCGATTCTGTCGCGCGATGGCATGCCGCTATGTCGCGTTTTTCCGACGAAATTCCTCGCACTTCATTACCGAATGACTGCCGGAACAGCAAATGCACTTAATCGCGGAAAGATTATGAACGGAGGACTGCGTTTTGTCACTCTTAGAATTGACGATTACTTTAGGATTGTCGGAGAAGTCCGACAGACCTCGTATTCGAAGCGTGAGGAATTCATGAATATCCTTGTACGAAGGAAGCTCGCGACTTGACGAAATTTTTAAATTCCATTCGCTCCTTGTTTTCGAACTAAATTTTTGAGAGATGACGTAGACGAGAATGTCATCCCACTCGCGTACCGGCCGCTTTAGATTAGTGAGAGCCGCTAGAGATGCGGACACGGTATCTCTCAACTTTCGCATTTCCGCGACGTTTTCCGCCTTCATTGTCGGTAGGCACATGAAGGCGTGAATGTGAGTATAGATCAACGTAAGTTGATCATCATACTCGTCAATCAACAACTGCCAGACGGACTCATAATTAGCGTCGGAAATCTTTAAATTACTAATAATCGAGGCAGCGTCACTGATGACGCTCGTTTTGAGGTAATGAAATTTCTGCGTGTTCGAGAGAGAATCATTACTCGCGACAAGAGACTCGAAAGTATTTTTAAAACTCTCCCATTCGGAGAACTTGCCCGAAAACTTCGGAAGTGAGATCCGTGGCAACTGAAAATTGTGATTATGAATGCCCTCGCGAATTGAAGAATCAGTACTGTGTTCTAACAACGGAGATTGATTAATTGAGAATCTTAATCGTATTTTCGTATTTCGAGACTTATCGTATCGCGAAGGAGGTCGGCCGTGTCGTGGTAGATCTCCTCGGCGCTCAGGAAGTTTCCATTCAGGAAATACGAGACAGTCTTCTGCTCCTCCGAAGTTGTGGCTTGCAGCAGCTTGACGTGTAGCCCTCGACAGGAAGTCCAAAGCGTTTCCAGCGTTGCAAGACGCCTCTGCGTCTTTGCTAATGTAACATTAGCTTTCGCTAATTTCTTGAAGTTAACGAGAACTCGCTTTATCGAGTCGATTGTTTCAACTTGCGAGATGAGCAAATTTCTTAATTCTGCCATTATTTCTTCGTTAATGAGCTATTAATAGTGACTTGATCGAAGGTACCGGGCTCGTGAGCACGGTGCCGACGGCAACGAATGCGCGACGACTTTTGGTCGAATCGCGACACTGTTATGTCGCTTAAGAATACACGGGATATGCCGGGGAGCGTTACCGCTGCGCCGACGGCAACCTTTCCGCGGATGTTTTCTTATCGACAAGCGGATTTCTCCGGTGCCTGAAGAATTAACGCCGTGACGTTCAATTGCCACGCCGACGGCGTCGAACTCGCGACGATTCCCTTTTAATCGTCGCGTCCAGTCTCGATTAGCACAGTGTATGATGTTCCGGGCGTGTTATCGACGCCGACGGCAACACCTTCGCGGAATACTTCACTTCGTTCCGCGAAACACGATGTAATTTTGACTTTGAGTTCACGAATTGTTTCCACCACCAGACCCCCGCGTTTGAACCTTGTAAATGAACTCGCGAATAAGGCGCGAAGCTCAACATTTAGATTCCCGCGGGAATGTTCGTTAAAGTTAACTCCACGACGGGAAAATAACTCCACTTGTCGCTCAAGCAGAGTGAGTGAGCCCAGAGAGAAAACCCGTTGGATAGTGAACGCGACACTGTCTTTGTTCTTCTTCTGCACTCATTCGATTGTAAAACGAGAAGTCACAGTCCGACGTCTCACTGACAATGTTCACCCGTTCCGTCTCACAACGCGAATCTCGCGTAGTTTGATTATCCGTATGATCGGGTCAACGAAAAATCCGGCTCAAAGGACCAATGTTTTTCCTTTTATTTAATTTTAATAACAGTAATTTTATTGTATCATATCAGATTTGTACACTGTATCTGGTTCCGACGCTTCGGATTCTTTTGATAGACTATTGAATACGTGATTGAGGTTCGATTGTCGTTCTTCAAGAACAAAGAAAGACAGGATATCGCGGATCCGTTACAAGCATACCGCTTTATCGTTGGGTGCTCTCGACTGTGTCTTTGGGCTAACTGAACTCCCTTTTTAACCTCGGGGAAGACAACCGATTCGGAATCACGAGCTTTGCATGAACTCGGCGCGTGACACGCGCGCGGCTAATCGTGATTCGCTGGCCGGTTGACCTGTCGATGTCCGCTCGAGGTGCCAAACAAAGTCGATCGTTGGTCGAGCCTTGAGTCCCTGGCTTCGACTCGGAACCAGAACAATATATATATATATATTTTTTTTTCTCGACAGCTTTGTTCCAAGTTTTAAACAGTGATAAATATTATTATTTTGAATGTGATAATTATTAATCAGAGAAATTCTAATAAAATTCTTTTCATACCATATTCTCTTACAATTACCATAACTTTTAGGGTAAATTCTAAGAGAAAATTCTCTCAGTGTTTTGATTAATTATTAAAAATTACTTGTAAAAACGCGCGGCGCGCACAGCACACGTTGCTCGATGCGGACGGCAATAGTTTACACGGCAAAGACACGACAATCATAATCACAATCTAAGAGAATTTTTTCTTAGAATTTACCTAGAAAATTATGGTAATCGTAGGACATTATGATGTGTGTATAAGATTTAACGTTGTAGGATGCCGGGTTAACGTGATCAAATGATTGTACGCGTTTTGAAACGGTTTAAATTAGTTTATTCACTTTCTACAAGTTCGTCGCGTACCGAGACTTATGTTTCTCGGCGCTCGCTCTCTCGAGGACTGACTCGAGGGCTGCGCGAATTTCGGAGCTCGCGTAGGGCGGCAGCCGATCGGGGTCCTCGATTGGACCATCAGAAAATCAGGCGATGTACACACGCCAATTAGCGGCGAGTGTACACGTTGGTTTCACGTGTTTCCTTGGCGTAAACACTAAGGAATTTAACAAAAAAACATTCTAGAAAATTCGATCGTCCTCGAGGATTCGATCCGAAGAACGAATCTTCAACATACCGCCCGCCTCGTATGCGAACGAATGCGAAATAAACTTAAACGAAGCGGGAGCGAATCGTCGAGGAAGATGATTACAAAAAACATACAGGTGAAGACGACTCGCACTGAGAAAGTCGTCTCGAAGATTACATAACTCTTACAAGTTAGCGGCTTCATCCGTTGCGGACGCGTTAGAGTTATCACGTATTGGCAGTCGGCATAATTGCGCAATAGGTCGTTTCAATGTGGACCGTGCGGTGCGTATGGTCACAACTCGAACGAGTCCATCAGATCCGGGATGGATTTGCTGTACTCGGGCAAGCTCCCATTTGCTCGGAGGGAACACGGGACTTTTAACTAATACTAATTCGCTTATTGCGAAGTTAGGAGACTGCTTGCACCACCTGTTTCGCTGTTGAAGCGAATGTAAATAATCCTGTGACCAGGCACGCCACACGGTTTCCTGCATGGCACGGACTAGTTGCCATCGCGAGAGCCTACGCGGGTCGATCGCGAGTACCGATTCCTCCGGAACGGCTACGAGGGGCCGTCCAATCAGAAAGTGACCCGGGGTAAGCGCCGACAAGTCACCCGGGTCGTCCCTAAGCGGAGCGATTGGTCGCGAGTTAAGGCACGCTTCTATTTTACATAGAAGCGTCGCGAGTTCAGCCCTCGAAAGTGTGTGGGAACCAACAGCGCGCCTCAGATGCGTTTTAAGGCTCTTGACTCCGGCCTCCCAAAGGCCGCCGAAATGTGGAGCGGCGGAGGGAATGAAATGCCAGTTCACTCCGTCGCCTGCGAGTGCGTTTCGCAATTCAGCATCCTTTCATAAGGATTGAAAGTGTCGATGAAGTTCGTGGTTGGCTCCATGAAAATTTGTGCCGTTGTCGCTATACATGTGACGCGGCAGACCTCTTCGGCTAGCGAACTTCTGATAGGCTGCAAGAAAGCCGGGCGTGGAGTAATCTTCCACTAATTCGAGGTGAATCGCCCTTGTAGCAAGACAAACAAACAGAGCGATATATACCTTTCTGGCCTTTTGCCCTCTGCCGACGAATGAAATTACGTGGAGTGGGCCGGCGTAATCAACCCCACAATGAGTAAAAGGCGCCGAAGGGGTGACACGAGCGGCTGGAAGGTCGCCCATGAACTGAGAAGACAATTTAGCCGCGTGACGAGTGCAGACTACACATTTTCGAATGTGCGCCTTTACTGAGCTGCGGCCTCCAATGATCCAGTATCGCTGACGCAGCACACGGAGTACTAGCTGTGTCCCCCCGTGGAGCGTGGATTTATGAGCGCGATCAATTAAGAGATCGGATAAGTGATGTTTCGGAATTATTATAGGATGTTGCTCGTCATAGCTGAGCGCGGAATTCGTCAACCGCCCGCCAAGACGGAGTAAAGAGTCCTCTCCTAGAAAAGGACTCAATTTGCTCAACGAGCTCGAATGCGGCATGGTGCCGTTATTCTTTAGTGAGCGCGTTTCCCGCTCGAAGAATCTCTGTTGCAGATAGCGCAACCAGAAGATTTCCGCCCTCCTAAACTCATCGGCGTTCAGAAGGGGGAAGAGTTGGGAGCGAGACGCGCTCTTTTCTTTTACACGAAGAATAAAGCGATTCATATAGGCAGTCACGCGGACAAGCTTGGTCCAAGTGGAGAACCTATATGGGAGTTCCCATTCCTCGGCCTCTTGAACATGGAACGTCACAGGCCGTCTTCTTTCCACCGACACTTGC